TCCAGAGATATATCTCCAAAATGTTTTCTGTCACCTTTGTAAGTCAGGTATTTCCGGAGATGCATCTCCAAAAGTATTTGATATAGCTTGGAGTCGCATGGTCAGTCCCCAATTGTTGTCATACTCCATTTTCAATAAAAACCCTCACCCTAAAAACCCTTTATCCTCAATCCATTTTTTCACTCTAAATCTCCATCCTTTTGATTTAACATATCACGGGGAGAAAAAGAAGATTGAATTTCAGGTATATATTGTTGTTTATCCTCTACATTGCTCACATTAATCACCATCGTTTTCTGAAAAAACTTACGCAGTGTCCGGAGATGTATCTTCGAAACGTGTTTGAGTTTGAACTTTTCCAGAGATACATTTCCGAAATATGTATGTGTTCATTTTCCATCCCTTATGCATCAGTAGATTAATTAATATTATGCTATTGTTTTAATTATTTCCTAAAACAATTAGTTTCTCCAAACAATGTTTCTCTGAATGTTCAAGGGGTTGTTGTAAAGCCGGTAGATGTTGGCAATGACTTTAATAACAAGTAAGAGTTTGAAAATCGTGATAGAATTCTTGAATGGATTCGCATGGAGGCATCTAGACTTAGATTTGGTATGGTAATCGGAAGGTCCGATAATGACTCAGATACAAGATGCGCCTTTATGACAATGTTATGCAAAAGAAGCGGGAGATATCGAAGTCCTCTCCAGAAACTAAAAAGAGACGACACGGGTAATAGAAAATGTGAGTGTCTGTTTAAGGTCCGTGGTTAGATGTTGACAAATAAAAATTGGAGATTTAATGCGATATGTGGTATGCATAACCATGATTTGTATTTAAAATTAGTCAGTCATCCTAGTGTATGTTGGCTCAAGCCGGAAGAGAAGAAATATATTAGTGACATGACCTTGAATTTTGTTCAATCGAAAAATATACTTGCAACATTGAAACGTAAGCAACCCGACAATATAACATTGATGAATGTGGTTACAAAGATATTTCCTTCTTCTTATGCATTATTTTGTAAGTTTCACATAATAAAGAATGTGAGAAGTCAAGTTAAATCTGCGTCAGGGACGAAACAAGTAGATTTTGAAGGTGGAAAATTGGTGAAGTCGGGTGTAATTGTGGATAAAATAATGGATGCATAGAATCATATAATAAATTCTTCCACAAAAGAATTATATGTCGATTCTATTATTCATTTCTGGAAAGTGTGTGAAAAGTATCTTGCTTTGTTAAAATATGTTGAAAGCACCATTCTTGATCAGGTGAGGGAGAAGATAGTTTGCGCGTGGATTGACAATGTTAAATACCTTGGAAATATAACTACTAATAGAGTTGACTCGACCCATGCTACTTTGAAAATTTGGTTGAGAAATAGCAAAATGGATTTGTGTCGAGACTGGGACTATGTGAACCACATGATTCATAACAAACATAATGAAATACTTACAACATTTGGTCGGAGCATCACGGTTTTGGAGCACCGATTTAAAGAAAAAAATTATATTCTCAGTTGGTCGATAACATTTCTCAGGCGAGTTTAAACTATATTTTTCACGAAGCTAAACGAGCTGATAATGTAGGCTCCGATAGTAAAGTGTGGTTGCACTATTGTGAAAACATATGATCTCCAATGTGCTTGTACTCTTGCTAGAAAGGTGAAACTTGGTGAACCAATAAGAATGAACGATGTTTGCTCTCATTGGAAAAGACTTAGGTTCAATGATGATGGACGAATGGATCACGGGAAATCAAATATCTCAATTTTGACTGAATGGGAAGCGATATAAGAGAGATTTTCAAAGGACGGTGACATCATGAAATTACACATCAAAGAACAATTGAGGAAGATTAACTATCCTAAAACCACCGACATGAAACCACATTCTCAACCGGTAAAAACAAAAAGTGCTCCGAAGAAAATGAAGCCTACACCGAATGACAACCCAACTACATGGTCTTATTCATATTTTGAACACATTGACAAAGTTTTTCTCGACTCACCGACTCTAAAATCTCTAAAAAAATGTTGTGAAAGGAGCACACATTAGCAAACCACCTCCGACGCCGCTTCCTCCGAAGATTCCATTCATCAACGAGATGCTGGTTTTTATGCACAAATATATTAAGCAGATTGTCGATGTTGTGGGGGACGGTAATTGCGGTTACCGAGCCATTTTGGTTTTACTCGGTAAAAGAGAAGATAGTTATATGCTTTTTCGACATCAACTTATTCAAGAGTTGAAGACGCATAAATAATCGTACACGCGGTTGTACAGAAATAAAGAAAAATACAATATGGTTTATGAGTCTTTTGTTCCTTTCTTGAGAAGTCCGGCACCAGAGTCAAATGGATGAGCTTCCCGGAAATGGGTCACCTAATTGCATGTGCATATGATAGGGTGTGTATTGACCTGACACACTACAGTTTTTCAGAAACCTTTTTTTCCACTGCGTACCGCACCACACCAAAATCCAAATAGTTGTATCATGTGTATTTGATGGCTTTCAAAATCAAGTCATTTTGTTCAAGTTTACTTGAAATCGAGTTGCCTCATACCACTTACATCACCGAAGTGGACGACTCATTCAACCGCAAAAGCCGAGACGTGATCGGATCATTTCATGGAAATGATGCAAGAATTTGAGAGATTTAACAACATTAAAAAAAGAATCGAATTCACAAAGGTTCAAGGGGGAACCACCTATAGATTTAGCCGGTGACACTTGTTTTAATTCGTTTTGACTTATTATTTAATCAGACAAATATTTGTATAAATTTGTATCTCAGTATAAATAAAGTATTACATATTCACTTTTTCTTCATCTTTGGTCTTTATGCACATTTGGTTCATATGTCATCTTAATGTGAATGTTTGTTATATGGTTCTGTTTTGGAAATATTTCAGGGAAAGTTCTGGAGATACATCTCCGAAAGGTTATTTTATTTGCTTTGTTTTGAAATGGTTCAGGAAAAGTTCTGAAGATGCATCTCCGGAACAAGATAATAGGATGCATTTTCGAAAATATATATCCGAAGTCAATCTGACAGTCAATGAGTGGTCCATATTGAACTAGGTCTTCTATAAATTTAGGTGTTCTTGTGTTATATTTCACACAAACTCAAAATTTCTCAAATATCACAAATAAACATCAGTTGGTATGTCGTAAGTGTCTTCTACTCCTACCTTAGAGAGACAAACAGAGGATTTTGAATCTCGAGTACCGTTCACCTTTAGTTAACAACGAAAGAAACCTTGTGTTCAGCAAATTTGAACTTAAGACTCGAGCAAATTGTTAGGGCCATGTGAGATACGTATTTCGGTTTCGAAGAGAAAGTTCCGCTGGAGTTGAAACTGACGCTACAAAGATTGTCGAAGATATTCTGAAGATGTGCAAGCGTCCACCGGGATATTGAAATGTAATGTTTAATTTTTTGTTGAAATCATGATTATAATTATTATTTTATGTAATGAATATCAATTGCAATTTGGAAAGTTTATTAAATGTATGTGTTTCTAGTTTCTTCCGGAAATGTAATGACAAACTTTTTTTCGAAGATGCATCTTTGAAATATATTAATCCCAACATATAGGGTGCCTCTCAGAATTGTCTTTGTTGAGTATGCAAAAGATGCGTCCGAAAATATATCTCCGAAAGTTGAGGGTATTAATGGAATTTTGCACTGTCTACTAGAAACTTATAAGGTGCAAAAAGAAATTCTCTCTTCCTTTTGAACCTTAGCCATAACAAAATCTAAGTTTTTTTAGAGGTGACAAAATGGACCCGACCTGTTGGATATGTCCGTTTTACCTCCTTTTGAACCTTAGCCATAACAAAATCTAAGTTTTTTTAGAGGTGACAAAATGGACCCAATCTGTTGGATATGTTCTACCTGCACTTTAATGTGGCGAAGGTCAAAGACGTAGCCTCATATCCTCTACGGTGCAGGCCTAAACGAGATGGACATACCCATTTGTCATCTCTGATTTTATTTGCATAGTCATGAAATTGGTTAACAAATCCGTAACATAAAAAAAAAATTCTTCAATCTTGGTAAAGCTTACTCTCCCTTAGTAAGCATTTATAAGAAGAAAAATACATTTTTCTAATTATAAATTATAAAATAAAATAAAAACATCAACTTCATTTCATTTAAATATTTTATTTTAAAATTTCATAATTTTTAAAATAAAATTAAATACAAATTACATTTGATTCGCTTACTCTCTTATTTCTTTCCAGAAACTGAAATTGTTTTTTACATATTCCAATAAAACATATTAAGAAAAACACAATTTTCAATTTTCTTGATAAGTGTTAAAATATTACTTTTTGCTTATAAACTATTTCGGAAATACATTTATCTTAGCTCTCATTTGATCCAATATAGACATAAAGACATTAAAAAAGATAAAAGTACTTAAAGTTAAAAATAGAATAATAATATAATTTTTTTTAAACATGGTTGATTTATAAATATCTAACTTATTTATATTAATGCATAAATATAAATAATATTTTAGTTGAGAATTGAATTCTAGACCAACCGGTTACGCCAGGATAGAATGAAAATATAAAATTAAAAATAATTTATTTGAAGAAAAATAATACATGAGTACTGTCAGTTTTCTCATACTTTCCTTGCCCATTTTCGCGTACCTTGATTTGTTGATTTCCATTATTTCAGCCCAAACCTTAAGATCTTTCTAACCACATCAGACTAACCACCACTTACACTTGAATTGCAACATTTTTTCAATTTAAGGGAGAGCTATGTAAAAGGAACAAAATGATCCTACCAAATTCTCATCAATAAGAATATTGTAATTTACAAGGGGCATGTGCTGGTCCTACCATTTTCCTTGGTTCTCTTTCATCTACCATTCTTTATATTTATTTACTCAGATATCAGTTCTCCAATCCAGTCATATGAACCTGCCCTCATTTGCAAATGCAGACCGGTTGCCTCTTCTATCTACCCTCTACCGGGTCTAGTCGTCGATGTCTTTGACAGCATCCTGCATTACAATGACATGAAGTGTTGATGAGTTAATAGTAAGTCTGATTGATGATAGAGACAGTAATGCAACAGCTTTGTCCTGATATCGATACACTACGAGGGTAATGTTTGATGTTTGTTTGGTACCCTATATCAAATATTACAAAAAATATAAATACATGTTATTTAATTAGGACATGGATAACAACATAATAATACCTTTGCAAGTTTCGTGACATATGTAGCAGCTAATGCGGTGACGAATAGTCCAAGCCCAAGGGTCAGTAGCTGATTGTTTCCTCCAAGAGCACTAAGTTCAGATTCTTCTTGCTGAAAGGTAGAAGCAGCAGTAACATTAGAAAGGAACTCAATGAAGTTTCCACATATCCATGATTAAAACTAGGGTTGGTATAGCAAGGTCCAGTTGAGAATTGGTCTTTCATGGCAAAAGATATACCCTCCTCTCATATTCTTTTAAGGTTTCTTAAGAAAATCACTGAGTGTACTAATTTCTGATAGAGTGAGCTATATTTACTAAAGAACTCTTATTGATGGTAGTTAGTTGAGTAGTTAGGTGTGTTGAGATACAATAAAAAAAGTATATTAGTATAAAAAAGTCAATGTTCCATTGGTAATCTAAAATGAAAAATAATGAGACAAACAAATATTCCAAATACGATAATAATATGGATGACAGAGGGAGTATAAGAAACAATGAAGACGTTGGAGGCTGCAATAAAGGCATGTCAAATGCCGCAATTAGGCGACTAGGGATGGACCGCATTGAAGGCGGAATTTGCAACCCCCCTCACTTTCAGGTCTCAATGAGTCTAGAGCGTGGACAATGCGGAAAGCCCAACATCAGATCTAGGATACTCTCACGCCTAAAACTGGACATCTAGAGTGTGGATACAAATGATAAGTGACCCGATAGCGAAAACCTAATAGTAGGTGATTCAACATATCTTGGATAGCTTACCATATTAAACAATATGATTGAGCCTAACTCAACCCTACAAACTTTATAAACACTACCCAAGTCATATTTCTAAGTAATATGAGACTAAATCCACCCATTCAAACCCGACACAATGTAGGCGTTGGAGGCTGCAATGAAGACAAGTAAAATACCGCAATTAGGTGACTAGGGGCGGACCGGACTAGACCGCAATTAGGCGACTAGGGGCGAACCGGACCGCAATAAAGGCGGAATTTCCAACACCAACTCAGCACTCTTAGTATATGTTTGTTATAACGGTGAAATAAGGAGACATTTGTAGCTTTTCCTCAATGTGCAGTGACTCGCAATCCAACGTGAAAGTAAATACTGTCATATTCCCTTTGATACATTTCCTGTAGTGGACACTCGAACCCTTGGGCCTATTCTCACTACTAGTCACTAGTCGACACATTTCCACTTTTCGGTCCCTAACAAAACCATCCCCAGTAGAATAAGCCTTGTCCTCAAGGCTAAGCTCAAGAAATTGGCTGCGAATGACAGCATGATCCTTCCGTGTTACTACCTCCGTCCCAAATTATAAGACGTTTTGGTCATTTCACACAAATTAAAAAACTTAATTATTACTTTATGGGAAAGACAAATTATATATGACTTTACAGCAATGTCCCTCATAATTACACAGGAGAGAGAGAAATTAAAATAGTTGAAAGAATAAATAATAATAATAATAATAATAATAATAATAATAATAATAATAATAATAATAATACTTGAGGGTATATTGGAGAAAATGTTATTAATATTGCATTGGAAATGTAAAGTGACTTATAATTTGGAACAAATTTTTTTGACAAAGTGACTTATAATTTGAGACAGAGGAAGTATATTTTTAACCGAGATGCCTTTCCATTTCTGTACCGTAGTTCCATCCTTTGTAATGCTTCTCTACCCCAACACTGAGTCAAGCTCAGCATCAAATTCAGGATGAACTTCCAGTTCCCAGAGGCAACTCACCCTGCACTTGGTTTACATCCCTATTTGTCTGGTTTTGAACAATTGACCTGAAATATTTAAACCATGCTGGTAAGATCTCCAAATTTCACCTTTAAGTTAGGGCTGTTTCTTATTTTGCTACACTTATATTTTATGTGCTCAGTCTTACTTCGACTTAAACGGAAGCCATATGCTTCTAAAGCTTGTCTTGAGTCTCTAACCTCCCATTTTTTTTTCTCTTAACTCTCCAATTAGAACTAGAGTATTTGCAAAAAGCTCGTTTGCATCGCGGTGATGGCTCTTGAACGTGCTCCATGAGTATAACCAAGACTACAATAAAATGACAAGGGCTTAAAGTTGACCCCTGGTGCAGTTTTATAGTAATTGGAAAATCTTCATGGCCCTTCTTATACATATTCTTGATATCCCAAATATAGGCAATCTAAACAAACATCTTTCTTTTCAAGGGATTTACACAAGCCTTCTCTTGGCACGCTACCCTATGCCTTTTTCATATCAATGAAAATCATGCGCAACTATTTTATATCATGCAGATAACCAAATTTATGATCAATAATTTTGGTTTTTCTTCAGTGTCTCTGCTCAATAAACATTTTCTATAACTTCTTATGACTCATAAATTTAATCCCTATAATTGGGGCAATTTTGTATACATCCTTTGTTTTTATAAATCAGAATTAAAATGTTCCACCTCCACCCGTCTGGTATTTTCTTTGAACTCAAAATCTTGATAAAAAAACTGGGGGGGCCAACTAATGTCTCTACCTCCTAGACTCTTCCATATATCAACAGGTATATTGTATGACCCATCGGCCTTCCTATTACCCATCACTCTCAAATCTTGTTTCACCTCATGTTCTTGAAATCTACAATAAAAGGTTATATTTTGATCCTCGCAATAAAACTTCATATCCATCATTTGTGAAAATAATAATCCTTCCATCTCTCTTTAATATCACACTCCATAACCAAATTTTTATCATCCTCTTCCTTAATACATTAACTTAGGCAAACTCCAAGTCTCTCTTCTTTCTTTCTTTGCCTCTAGCAAGTCCTATAAAAAAACATATCATTGTAATGTTCTACCAACAGCATTCACTTTCATTCATATAAAAGGCCAAAAAGTTTTCAAAGAAACATTATGACAACATGTCTTCAGCATCATCGACTTTTCCTTTATCACCATCTCATACTTCAATCACAAAACACATATAGAAAGGATGCAAAGAAGGGGAAAAAGTATATGAAGTTAATGAAGGGCCAAAAAGTTCTAATAATGATTGAATAGCCAACACGCCAAGCATGCAAAACAAATTTGGGGCAAAAAAAAGTACAAACTCACGATTATTGCTCTTCCAAAAGCACCTGCACTAACATAAGCCCATGTTCCTGGAAGCATCCCCAACCAACTGCATGATGTGTTTTAAATCAGAAATTTACAAGAATTGTACATTTTCAAACAAAGTTGAAAATAAATCAATGATGTCAAATAGCGGCCATAGCAATGTGTCACTATTGTTCCACTGATATGCTATTTAATATAAAGTATTGTCAAGTAGTGGCTATCATAGCTCTATAGCTATGTAATGTAACGAAATTCGAACAAACCACTATTTCTCGCAATCTGCAATTGATATCATTGAATTAAACTGTACAATTCCAATTAGATATACTGCTTAACATCAATATTCTCAGTTTCATTCTTAACTGCATTTTATTATAGTCATAATTTGCTGCAACTAATTAATGATATTTCATAACAATAAAAACTCTATTATGAATCAAGATGAAGCTAAAGATATTGCACATCAAAATTTAGAGTCTACTTATGCTTAAGAGGTTAACATATAAATTCTACTTTTGGCATGAATTACCCAAGAAATCTGGGCAACATATAAATTCCTTTACTTATTTTGAAATATAAAACGCTCTTTCTAAAATTGAATGGTTTAGAGTTTCAAAAAGACAACAGAATTCAGATGAAATTAGTTTTGATCAGTAATAAGCACCATACCTTCCCAATACATACGGAAGAAACTTAACAGATGTTAATCCATATAAATAATTCCCCAAAGAAAATGGCAGCAACGGGCTCAAACGAAGCAGAGTCACAACCTTGAAGCCATTTTCTCCGATTGCTTTGTCAATAGCAAGAAACTTCTTGTTTCCTTCTACTAGTTTTAGAATGCGCTCACGAGCAAAATATCTTGCAATCAGAAAAGCAACACTAGCCGCCACCTACAATACCTTAAAATATTAGATTAAACCATACACGCACATTTAGTATATATTAGCAGACAACAGAAAATTTTATACTTTACTCTATTCATAATTTTAAATAGAATATGAAGAAATTGACTCACTGTCCCACTGATAGAGACTATGATAGTGCCAGTAACAGATCCAAAAAGAAGTCCAGCTGACATGGTTAAGGGAATGGCAGGAATAGCAAGGATCTGGGAAAATATTAAATAAAGTAAAGTTAGTTTTAAGCATTGCAAATCTATAGCAGGGAAAAAAGCATTTGCTCGAGAGCAAAGAGAGTAAGAAAATGCGAATTAGAAGATTAACAACACATAGAAGCATTTGGCATGGTGATAGATCAGGCACAGAACAGGCTATTCTTCTATGCTCTCCTTTGATTCTAGCTTCTTAAAATGAGCCACATTGTACCATAGTTTCATTTTATTTCATGTCTGGTTCTAATTATAACATATGCTATGAGCAATGCAGTATGGAAAATAAGGAAAAGTGATAGATGCCCTGATACCTCCAATCCAGCATAAACAGCTACAAACAACGCATATCCAGCTGAACCATAACCTGCTCATCAAAAGAACACATAGAGAATTAGATAATGTGATGATAAACAACTTAATTAAACACTTATATCATTTAATAGTTATGTATGAGTTGTTTCTACACTCAAGGAATAATAAGGGTAAATTTTGCATAAGCCCGTAATGCACACCAGCTATCTCTAAGAGCTTATGAAAATAAACTAAGTTTGTGAGCATATCATAATTTAGTTTTATAAGTTCTTCCAAACTCTTTGCTAAGTGCACTAGTATAAATGTTTATATCATAAGATGCATATATCTACAAAACACAACCGCTATCTCTACGAGCTTATAAAAATAAATTGAAGTGTGTGAGCATGCATCACCTCACTTATTCCTTATTTGAATCCCACAAGAGACTACTGTAATGTCAGACTGTGAATATTCTTTGATTATTTTCATAAATTCCCTTCCATTTTCTGTTCTGGGCATAGACAACTTACCATTTTATGCTTTGGGCATAAACAACTTACCATTTTCAGCCATCACGATTCTTAATAAAACCAGACAAAGCCTTCTTCCAAACCCTTGAATAAGGCTGCATTCGGATTGGCTTATGAACAACTTATCTAGGCTAACCTATTGACATTGACACTACTATAGGGATAAACAAATTAATTAAGTGCTTATCATAGTAAGTACTTATATATAACCTATTTCTATAATGAAAGATATAAGCTATAAAAGTTGTTTCTATAAGCTATTACAGAGAGCTTATGACGACGACGACAACAACAACAACAACAACAATCAAGCATTATCCAACTAACTGGAGTAGGCTACATGAATCAATTTTCGCCATAATGTTCTATCCAAATTGTTAGTTTTGAGGTCTTTCTTAATATTTTCTCTTATAGTTTTTCTAGGTCTTCCTCTACCTCTAATTGTTTGACTTATCTCCGTCTGATTTACTCTCCTTACCACAAAATCTAAAGGTCTTCTCTCTACATGCCTAAACCACAAAAATCTATTCTCCACCATATTTTCTAATATAGGTGCTTACCCCAACACTCTGATATTCTCATTTCTAATCTTATCATGCCATGTCTAGTCTTTCGAAGAGCTTATGACAATAGGTTAAAAAACCTTATCGCCATGTCATAAATTTTTTCTATAATCTCTTCCAAAGAGCCTCACAAGTGCCTAAACAAGTAAATCCAAACAAGCTTAAGGCGTTTGCAAGAGCTTCTGAAAATATAGTCTCACAATAAGAGCTTATGCAAGTAGATAAACTCAAATAGGTCAATTCAAATAAGCTCGAGGCGTTTAGAGAGCTTATGAAAAGAGTTTGACATGTCCATAAGTTGTTTGCAGGTAACTTAAATAAATTTTGCATGATGGGTTACAAAAACAAGTGCTTATATGATAAGGGGTTATCCTATAATGCTTAATTGAGTTGTTTACTCAAACAGAAGTACCTATATGATAAGATTAGTATAAAGAAAGGGACATGCAACATATCATAACATTAACATATTCCTATAAGTAGAAGTTGGAAATGAAATGAATTAAGAAAAAAATAACCTTCAATGAAGCCAGAGAACTGATTCAAGAAAGAATTAATAGGTTCTCTATAGAAATAACCAACCGAAGCAAAACCCCCGACAAAACCAACAAGCAAAACACCGGCCAAAATTGTACCCTTCAAAGCAGTACTACCATCATCATCATCATCATCCTTCCCCCGTTTGCCAGATTCAGATTCTCTTCTTCGATTCTTCTCAGCATCCCTCTTATCATCTTCCCCTTTGGAGTTAAACAAACGCTTTAACCGAGATGGATTACTGTTACTGATCTTAGTAGGTTGTTTTTTGGTCTGTTTGAGAGAAGAATGCGGTATTAGGAGGCGAAAACATCTGATTGAAGAAGAAATAGGTGAAGAGAATAAGCGATTACTGAACGTGGAATTGTTGGTGTGAAGAGAAGAAGATAGACATGGTGATGGCAATGAGAGAGTGCGCATGATAATAATTAATTAATCAAACTAATTCTCGATTGAGAAGCTAGAATTAGTTACAAGAAGAAGAAGAACGGAATGGATAATCGATTATTCATGAAAGTGCTTATTTGTTCTTCTTCTATCTATCTTAACTTTCATTCTTGCGGGAATGTGATGTGTGTATCTATGGGTGTATCTATCGTGTATCATCAGATTCAATTTTTTATTTTATTTCTTATTTTTTTGTGGTTACAAATTACCTTACATATTTATGTTATCCCTCTACGAATCAATTTAAAATATTTTATACCAGTATATTCCGTCATAACAATACAAAAATGATAATCATTTAATTCAAAAACACACCATGAATCTTTTTAGTATCAAATACTAATTGTGGTATTGATAAAAATAGTACTATTACCAACTCTCACCTATCTAATCACTAAAATAAAATGCTATCATTAACTCTTAATTGCCCTTCCCTTATGTAAATTAACTTACACACACACACACGAGAGAATAAATAGGCCAATGCATAATCACCATTTTTCTCATTTAGAATTCTAATTTACCATGAGTATGTCAAATTTTCTCTCTTTCTATCGCTCAGAATTATCATCATCATAAATCCAATTTAATTACTTTTTACAATAACAACAACGACTATTTTTATTCTTCACGATGTGAGCTAACCTCTTACCCTATCACTTAATGTTGTTGTTTCATCTTGCTCCATTTTTCTTCATCGACTTTGATTAAAATTTGTGAGTGTTGTTTGTCACTGCAATTCCTATCTCATCCTACTGCTCCAACACTCAAGGTACTTGCTTCATTTTTTATACGTTTCATACGTGTTCTATGCCTTTTTTAACTTCGGTTCTCTTTCTTAGTTTAAGCCAACGACCACAAACTTGCATTTTTTGTAACCTGTGGTTGCTTTCACAAAGGCACTAATAGATTTTAATGATTTTCGTTGCCTGTCTTTTGACAATGACCTTAGAATTGTGTTGTAACTGTGTTTGTGATTTTATCTATTTTTTACAATGGAGTTTCATTTGTTTTGACAATATTGTCTACATATTCAATTGTGTTTGTGTTTTTATCTGTTTCATACGTCTTCTATGCCTTTTTTAACTTTGGTTCTCTATCTTACTTTAAGTAAAAAATCACAAACTTGCATCTTTTGTAACTCGTGTTTGCTTTCACAAAGACACAAATAGTTTTTAATAATTTTATTTGTCTGTTTTTTAATAATGACCTTAAATTTGTGTTGTATATGTGTTTCTCATTTTATCTGTTTTTGACAATGAGGTTATATTTAATCTGACAATGTTGTCTACATATTCTGTAACACCCATTTTAATTATTTAATCTTTCTGGTGTTATTTTATTTCGGCGTGTCTTTTGTGGGAATTATGTAAGAAACTATAGCCTTTAATATTAGTATAATATAATTGATAATAATAATAATTTGATAATTATTATTATTATTATTATTATTATTATTATTATTATTATTATTATTATTATTATTATTATTGGTATTATTATTATTGGAATAAAAGAAATAAGGAATAAGAGTTATAATGGGGTATTAGTGAGTTTTGGAGAGAAGGAAAGAAGAAGATGGTCTAGTGGGAGAGAAATTGAGGAAGAGGAACAAGAGGAAGAAAAAGAAGGCTAGGCTGTCGAATTCTTAGGAATTCTTCAACGATCGAAGCGATTAATCGAGGTAATGGGGGAGAAACCGATTGGGATTGGTAATTGCATGAATATTTGGTAGAGGGGATTCCTTAACCCCATAGGGATTTGATGATTATGATTAGTATGTTGTTGTGTTTCTAATCTTTGCTGTTATGGTGAACTCCTTGCATGTGGCTGTATAAGAATTGTTTGGGTGATTTGGGTGAATTGGTGTAGTTTACCGCTTTAGGCCGAAAATGATTTAATCGGTAGAGTTAATGTTTTATCGGATAAAACTTGGATTAAATAGTGTAGTTTAGTCGTAGAATGCTAGGCTAAGACTACAGGGACAAGGTTGGTGAGATTCGGATGAGTTAGGAGCTTCTGATGAATTTATAAACAGTGAGGGTTTTGTGAAATCGCAGACGTTCGCCAGCACCTTCACTGAGCGAGCTAGTAGCGAGCATTCGCTAGGGATTCGCTAGGCGAGTTGGGTAGCGAATACTTCCAGTAGTCACTGTCTGTCTTCGCTAGGCGAATGAGGCAGCGAGCGTTCGCTGAGGCCTCACTGGGCGAGTAAGCCAGTGAGCGTGACAGAAATGTGATTTTGTGCTGTTTCGCTTTGTGATTCGTTTTGTAGGATTCCTTGGGTTGTGATAGGTAGAGAGATGGTACTTAGTGGTGAGGAGTGTATACCTGGTGTTGAAAGGTGAAATTATGAAATAATTGACTTTGATTGAAATACTAATTGATTGATGTGTGTATATATATATATATATATATATATATATATATATATATATATATATATATATATATATATATATATATATATATATATATATATATATATATATATATATATATATATATATATATATATATATATATATATATATATATATATATATATATATATATATATATATATATATATATATATATATATATATATATATATATATATATATATATATATATATATATATATATATATATATATATATATATATATATATATATATATATGATGTATGGTGATGTGATCAGGGGATCGTATGACTTTAATTAAAATGACTAATTGATTTGTGTGTATATATATATATATATATATGTATGATGTATGGTGATGTGATCAGGAGGATCGTGTGCACTTAGTGTGCTTGAGTTTGTGTGTTTTGCATTTGGTGTCGTGCATATCATTGTGTCTTGGTGAGATGGATCATGTCTCAGGAGGAGCGTAAGTGATCCATCCGTACTCCTTTTTGGAGAATTGTGGAGTTGAATCATATCTCAGGAGGAGCGTAAGTGATTCACCCGTACTCCTTTGTGGAGAATGGTCGGATGGATCATGTCTCAGGAGGAGCGTAAGTGATCCATCCGTACTCCTTTGTGGAGAATTGCGGAGTTAAATCATGTCTCAAGAGGAGCGTAAGTGATTCACCCGTACTCCTTTATGGAGAATGATGGGATGGATCATGTCTCAGGAGGAGCGTAAGTGATCCATCCGTACTCCTTTGTGGAGAATTGTGGAGTTGAATCATGTCTCAGGAGGAGCGTAAGTGATTCACCCGTACTCCTTTGTGGAGAATGGTGGGGATAGATCATGTCTCAAGAGGAGCGTAAGTGATCTATTCCGAGGTTCGATTGAATGAACCAATGAGTCAGTACCGCATGCATGGTGTTGAGTTGCATTCTTGCATTATTATGTGTTGTGTTGATGATTGGACAGTAGATCGTGTTTGATATTGGTGGGGTGATGATTTTTTTATTTACTGCCTTTTATTCATGTATCCTATTACCGATAATTTTGATCATGTTTTCTCACCCCTTTGTTATTGTTGTGGTCTGTGCTTCTTCGGAAGTACAGATAATCCAGGTACATAGCTAGCTTGGATAGTGGTGTGCGGGTCGAGTCTTAGGATGCTCTGATACATAACACGAGACTTGGGTGTTTACTTTATTGTGATTGGAATTTGTTGTATTCCTTTGGCGTATCTTATTTTGGTGAACCTTCTTAATGAATATTTTATGTAAATTGGCGGATGGCCGAGAGTGATGTACTAAAAAAATAGTTTTTTCCGCTGCTTTATTTTGAAAGCCATCTAATGAAGTGTTTGTTGAATTTTTTGAATGTGATATCCCACTTTTGATGCAAAACTCTGATATTTATTTGATTTAATCGTATTTTATTTTAATTTGGGAAGTGGGGTGTTACATATTCAACTGTGTTTGTGTTTTTTGTTGTTGTTGTATGTGTTATCACAATGGTGGCTACCTAATGAAGTGTATTTGTTTTTTCCTTTCATGGACTTTATGTTTTTGTTGTTGTAATTGTTGTAGTATATGGTATCACTATGTTACTTAACTATTTCATTTACCATCTCTATGTTAGATGCTAAGACCTCCAATATTTGTGAATGACTTGGAGTTAGGAAACCAAGTTTGGAAAATGACTGTCAGAATTGTATATTTGCGGACTGTGAAGGAGATGAATTACCAGTTACATATATAGCTGATCATTCAAGATGCAAAAGTTATAAACACTTCATTACTAAAAATTGTTTCTAATTTTATTTCTTATTTTAACCATCAACTAATCATAGTCATGAACTTCATATTGTTAGAACATGATTTGTTCATGACATATTTTTTCTTGGGTTTTGATGATAACAAAGTATTGAAATAACAATGGTTTATTTGATGTGTGTTTACTTGTATATACTATTATCAGAATCTGTTCTACATTAAGCACATTTTGAGAGTTGCTGCATTGCTAGCTTTTAGTGGCAGAATCTGAAGAACACTTATTAAGTGATGTCTGATGAAGACTCTGAAGCTAAAGGCCTCAGCATCAAAAGAAGCAACGTTATTATTGTTTGTACACTTAGTAATGCAAATTGACTTCTGGTACCATTTAGAGTTGGTGATAAAGCTGAAGCTAACTGTATTACAAAAAGCAAACTATATTGTCAAATCAATTTGTCAGATAGAGTCTATAGATTGCAAGGCTTAAGAAAGGCTAAGATGCTTTATAGATATCTACTTTCGACGGCTCTAATAGTACATAATCTCTTGAAGACTCAAAGCTTAAACATGTTACACATTGGATTAAGATCTTCTGGTGTATCTATCTTCAACGACTCGTGTACTATGGAGAAACAACTAATACTTTTGATCAATTTACCTTCTCAAGATCTAGTTTCTAAAATGGCTATAAATATGGATGAAGGTTTATACTGAATCTTTAACAAGGATCAACCAGAAGAAGGAGTAACAAGATCAACAATTATCAACTCAATGTTTATGAAATTTTTTTTATGTAGGTTATAATTGTA